AAAAAAAAATAAAAAGTGGTTGGCTATTGCAAAGTAAAAACCAACCAACTCACTTGTTGTTTTGGCAGATGAGAGCCCTCTCCTACCCTGTGTCCCAGGAGGGGTACACCACTGTTTAGTTTCTTTGTATGTAGCTCCAGGGCTGACATAAAATCATAGAATTTTGGGCCTCACAAGGATTCCAATCCACTGTCGTCAAGCTGACCGACTCAGTGACCCTCTAGTGGGTTTCCAAGGCTGTAAATCTTTAGGAGAGGAGACTGCTCATCCGTTTCCTGAGGAGTGCCTGGAGGATCTGAACCACTGACCTTCGGTTACCAGCCTCTCACAGCTCCATCAGGACTCCTCCAGAAGTGACTTGGTGATCACTAATAAAAACTTTTTATTTTACAAATAGAAGGAGCCCAGAAGAAAAAAAAAATAAAAAGAAAAAAAAAAAAAAAAAAAAGAAGGAGCCCAGAGCAAGTGGGATATTTCACATTTTCTCATCTAAGTGAAGACATTATGGCAAAATTTACCTGAAGTATCCAGTGGCTGAAAGGCTGATTCTTTGCTCAAATGCAGCTTCTATCTGCAGAAGGGGCATATTAGTAAAAAGAAATACCATTTAATAGATGCAAAAGAAAAGAAATATATCATCCAGTGAATGAAAAAACGAGGAAATGAGGAAAACACTCTATATCAATATGGAAATATGATAATTGTTTCTGATACTCTGCTTTTAATTATCATCATCAATTTTTCCTAAATTGACATGCAAATAATTTCTTTCTGACTGGCTTCAGAAATCTGGATTGAACAAATAAAAATAGAATTCTGCAATGTACCCATGACATTTATTGGCATTGAGTTGGAACTGACTTGGAGATGACCCTCTGGAAGCTTTTGTTGTTGTTGCTGTGTACCATCAGGTCAGAACTGACCCATAGCTGGCCCCTCAGTAGGTTTTCAGTTAATTGCACGGGAGGAAATGGTCCATCCTTCTCCTGTGGAGCAGCTGGTAGATTAGATCTGCTTGCCTTTGGGATTGCAGTGCAGATTCTTGCCACTAGGCTATCTGTGCTCCTTCCACACAAGGCTGTAAATTGCACAGGAGATTGTCCATCCTTTTTCCGCGGTCCGCTTTGTGGATTCCAACTGCCAGAAAGAGGTTGCCTTTGGGTTAACAGCCTAACTCCCCACACCACCAGAGCTCCCTGAGATAGGGACTTAATTCTAAATGGCAGAATTTGGAGCTTCATATGCTGGGGTTTAAAGCTTTATTTCTAAATGTTAGAACTGTAAGAAGTATGTATGTATGTGTGCTAGTGTGAACAGTTCTAATGAAGCAAGGTAAACAATATTACAAGGCTAGATTGAATGAGTAATTTACCTTGAAATATATTCATTAGCACTAAGCCTTTTAGTTTTCCTCCTCTTTAACCAAAACATCAACATTTCTTTGTGACTTAGGGATGTTTAATCTTTTCCTCTTCTTTCTGATGTATGTAGAGTGAATGAGGCCTTCTGGGAATTCATCATATACCTCTAATCTCCCACAGGTATCTGTGTGCTCTTGTCTACACAACTAGTTAATCAGTTCTCATCAGTGTGGACGCTGACTTGGGCTGACCTCACCTATGTCAGGGTAGAGATGTGCTTCATACAGTTTTATTTTCTTGGAACACTTTATAGAGCTTTAGGTGAAAGTTCACAAAGCAAATTAATTTTCCGATCAATAATTCATCTACAAATTTGATCTGTAACACTGGTTGCAATCTTCACAATGTGCCAGCATTATTTCCTCCCTGGGTTGTTTCCATTCATCTGGTTTCCCTGTCTTTCATTTCTTTCTCATCTTTGGTTTTGGGCAAATAGCACATCCTGCAAGGGAGTTGCTGTATATTTTATATTATTGTTTGGCTCCGAGGTGGCTCCGAGGAGTGTCTCCTGTATCAAGTTGAAGGTTAGGTTAGGACAATAGTCTCAGGGCTCTCTCTAATCTCTTTCAGACCAGTAAGGCTGATCATTATTTATTTTTAAAATAGAATCTTGTTTGCCATTTTTTGCCCATTCTAGTTGGACTCTTCTGTTGTG